ATTATTAAAAAAAATGCTAGATTTTTCCAAAATCATGCCTATTCTGTAAAAAAAAGTGTCCGTAAATTGAGAAAAAATGCGTCGAAAGAGCTTTAAAACAAACGATAGTCGAATTTGAAAACCTCAAAATTGAAACACCATATACTACTTTTTACCAAAATGCTTTAGTCCCATAGTGGTGAGAGAAATATGAGAGACAGATGTTTGCTAGCTGCTGGCAGGATTCGAACGAGTGACCTCCGAGATCGTAGTGAGAAGCTCTAACCACCATAGTTGCACAACTTATTCCAGGAAAAGGCAGAGGGCGTTATGTTTTTCATTTTTTAGAAATTTTTAAGATATAGAGAAATACCGACCTGCTGACTGAGCTATTGGGACCATATTTTCCAAATTGCAACACTTTGTCCCTTTTAAATTGGAAATTAGTAGTTCAAGTTGCTACTGTCTGAACCAACACATAAATTTTAAAAAGAAATTTTTAAAACATGACATTAAAAAAGTTTAATCCGATATCTTATCGTTATTTCCAGATCACTGTACTCTAATACCAAAACATCAACAGCCATCATCCTTATTATTGTACAGAAGATGATGCTTCATAAATGAATAAAAGTATCAAGAATAAAAAGATCATAACTTTATACGGTTTTTAAGGATATACTTTTATTTTAAAATCTCTTCTTATTACTTTTCGTTTTCATATTTTACTGCTTCTATCAGATAAGTCACCTTTCTTTACCTTACTTAGATGGGTTTTATTTTCTTGCAGAATTTTGTTTGCTTTTTTCCGATTTAATTGGGAATTTTAAGTGCTATGTTTATGGAAACGAAAAACAATGGCAGATGAAGAGGACACAAAGTGCAAAACACGTACTTCCTCCTGGTATAGCTGGAATATAATTTGTAAAATTTGTTCCAATTACAAGAACCGGGCTGTGACTAACTATGTCAATGGCAACCTAAGCACATCGTCGATTGCAGTGAGCGTAACTAAGGAATGATACGAGAATATTTCCCGTTGTATGTAAACGACATTAGTACTATGCAATACAAAAACATTGTTCCAATATCTGGAAATTTACGAGTGCAATTAAATTTACTTCCAAGTAAATCAATTTGTATTAAATCGATTTGGTCAATATTTTACAAATAAATATGCGTACTTCAAATGCTCACCATTTTAATAATTTCCATTACAATTTTAAGATTTTAAATGCCATTAATTACAATTGTTTACATATGTTACAAAAATCGAAAATAATTTCACAAATAAAATTTGACTATACGGTAAAATATTCAGGATCAAACTACGGTTAAATAAAAAGTATTGATATCCTGGATGCATCATCCGTAGAATCCTTTTTACTGTAAAATCTATTTTTATGATAAAATTTCAGGACGTAATTTTTGCAGTAATATTAATTTAATTACAATAATTCAATGATTTTACAGTAAATATTACTGTAAAAATTACTGTGTATCAGATATTTTTGGTTCGGGAAATTTTACGATAAAAATTGACTCTTCGGTTCACCTTATGTTATAGGCTTAAAAAGTTCTGAAGGTATAGTCAAATAGCCAAAAATTTAAATTAACATAAAGAGTTCCAAACTTTGGACTGTCCTCCTGACCAAATTTTTGTGACCATATTTCCCAAATTCTAGCTGCCTCCTATCTTTTGAAGCTCAAAATCCGAATATGTTTATTTAAATAAAATACATTTAAGATAAGGCGAAATACGCAAAAACATTACGGGGTCCAAACTGTAGGGGTTATATTTCCCAGATTGCTGCTAACTCCTATAATTCGGTGATCAAAAATACGAATCCGTTGAAAAAAAAGTATATTTATTCAGAGAAAGTGCATTTATATCTCATTCTGTAACATAAAATGACGTTTGCACTAATTAGTCAACATATTTGAGGTAACCCCTTGGAATCGATAAAAATGAGCCCTAGAACGCGATGAACCGATCATTAGATCAAAAGTTACTCAGGCTGGTCCGTTTTCATTTCGAGCACTGGAATTAAACTGGCGAAATTATTTAAATTATTGAAAAATATTGACTATGGGTTCACATTTGACTCTGTTATTAAAATTTATGCAGGTAATGTTTTATTTATGATTATTTAGGTAGTAACCATATTTCATTGAATTGGGACACATTAGCTCATATTACAAACAAGACAAATTTGTTTCATTCTTATTATATTACTTAACTGCAAACCCTATATTGCCGAATTTAGGTCTTCACTCCACTGCAGAAACGGGATAATAATGTAATTATTTTTAAGAAATACAATTATGTCAATTAGTAATAGTGCGTTTTGAGGGCTAAAAAACTATTACCACAATACCTATATTATTCTATTAGTTTCCTATTGTCACAATGCCACAAGAAGAAGAAAATAATTCAGGTAAAATTACTCTACTTTTATAGTAATAACATTCCTGGTTGAAAGATGAAATTTAATTCTGGTTATAAAACCAAAATATACGGTATTTAAACCATTCATTTGGTAGTTTTTTCGTTCGTATAGTAATGGTTAACGGAAATTCAGGTTTTCAAAATCGTAGTTTTTACTACCGCAAATTTAATAAAATTACTAAATTTAAAAATAAATTTTACCGAGTAAATTTTTGTGCCTTGTTCTAAGGTATCATGATGAAATTACCAAATTTTACCACATTTACTATTAACAACATGGTAAAAAAACATTGTATTGTTAATTTTACAAAATACCAATGGTCTTCGATAAAATTCCACGTGCCACTTCATGTTTCTATAGAAAAGCATTGTAAATTTTACCATATCCTGGTAATTTTGACCATACACTTTGTTTCATTATACTAGTGCGCAGGAAATTTAATGCCGAGCTGATAAATCTGTATACAAATGAAACGAGGTAGCTTGAAGGTGCAAAACTTAAAATCAGGATACCAGTTGGGGTCCAATGTGATTGGTATGTTAATACATGCAGCCTGATGCAGTGGAAGAATATCAGAAGGGAATAAAGCTCGCTAAGTTCAAAAGCGCTGGCTGTGTACGTCGTATTTATGTGAAAGTTATTGCGCCCTGAGCATAAATTCAAGAGACGTCAAGTTATTGTCGTAATGTGATATTTCCAACAGGCAATTCTGAAAATGACGTCTGAATCCGAAGTCGAATCCTTAAGAACTGCGTCGAAAGATCAAAGTGATAATGGGCCAGCTACACTGTAAAAGTTCTGGATCAAATTATGGTAAATAGTGCTGGTACTTAGGGTTCCGATACGCTTTATCGTTAAATCCTATATTAATGGAACATGTTACGGAACAAAAAATCTGACAAACTGTAACTTTTTACATTAATAATTGCATGAAAAGTTTTGAATCACTTTGAAACTAAATCACTGACTCACGAAAAAACTACCAAATTACTGTAAAAATTTGCGGTACAATATTTTATGGTAAAATGGATTTAACGGATGATGCACCCAAAGTGCCGTTTTTGATTCGGAAATATATGAATTCGGAATCAATCACGACAAAAATAACGCAAATGTATGCACACGGCATAAAAAATCGTAAATAACATATAACTTTTTCTTTTAATATGAACGGTGCCTTACAAAAGATAAGTCTTAAAAATTATAATAGGTATTTATTAAACCTCCTTTAATATTCTCATAATAAAATAACTGGAAAAAATTTGCTCAGTATATTATAAGTAAATGATTTGTTTGATAATGCTGTGGAAATAATAATTCCCACTTAACTATCTTTCTTGAAGTATTTAGTTAAAATAAACATGGTTGTTCTCTTAAAACATAATTTTTGCTTACAAGCAACTGCTTTGAAGCATTAATTATTTTATTCACAATGAAAAAATTTTATAAGTTCAATGATTAGCAATAAAGGCACAACAATGAGCAATAACGGCAAAAGAGTTTTAAACTGAAATATTTTATAATCTGTTTTCCGCTTGTTTAGCTTAGTAAATAATCTAGCAATGCAATATAAGTTATTTTAGGTTTATTTAAACTATTTTATGCGCAATAAATATATTAATTTGAACTTACAGGTAGATTTTCAAAAATAAAATACAAATAGAAATTCGAAAATTAATAGGTTATTTTAGCTGCATTCAAAAGTATTTATTAAGCAATATAAAGCAGAATAAACATTTGTGAAATGATTTTTTTTTGTCTGTATCTCAAACATAAAATTTAACAAAATGCCTTTCTTATTTTGAAATTTCCTTCTTTTGCGCTTTAATTTGCTATAAATGTATTAATTTGAAAACAGGCATAGCTTTGCTGACTTAAAATACACATAGAAATTTCGAAATTTAATAATTGCATATTTAATAACTGAATTTAAAACACTTATAGTAATAGTAAGCTGCTTTCACATTTGTGTATTTTATTGTAACTCAAACATTAAAAAAACACTTTTTTTTATCTTAATGTTTCTTACTGTTGTATTTTCATTGACGTAAAAATACGATATATCTATACATAATAATACAACATAAATACATTTGTTTAAATCTTTTAACAACATAGTCTAAGCTCCTGGTATATTGTGCATTTGTTTAAAATATTTATTCATTTTATCAGAATGCATTTGAAACAATTATTTTAATTTGTTATTTATGCAGTATAAGTGCATTTAAGGCATTTGGTTAATTTTTTAATAATATAAAAGGGCATAGCAATTCGTGCAATTGTTAGAGGCTGGTCTTATAGTTAAGCATTTGATGCAATTGTTTGAATCATAATGCAGTCTAATTACCCTGATGTAATAATTAGTTGCATTGATGTGATGAATTAATTTATATAATAATACATAGTTTGTTGCAATTATTTAAAACATTTTATAATATAGTCAAAGTTAATTGTATCACATGATGCAATGTTAATAATGCACTCTAAACACGTAGATGATGGTATGATTGTATAGCATCTTGTGCAATATTTAAATCTGTGTAATAACATTAAGAAATAGTGTGGAGTTACCTTAACACATTCTGAATTATCCTCTTCAACAAATTCTGACACAATTCTTTTGCTTCGCCTTCTTCCGAAGAAAGGAATACTTTGACACCAAGAACTCTCTTCTTTGGCTCGAACTTCAATCCGATTTTTGCGAAAGAGGACCTGTTTTATGGCTTGCTTTGGTTGTTCTGTGGTCACTACGTCTTGAAAATTATCCTGCATATTTGGCACCAGGCCTTCAGATGTTGAAGCCATTACCACATTGAAATGATTTGCTATCTTATATTGACAAATGCACGCAATTTGATCTCGTAAGTTTGCAGTGTAAGCAATAATATCACAACCTTTCACTTGGATGCAAAATTTGTTTATTTATTTATTTTAAATGTCTGAAGATAAAATGACGATTTGAAGCTCGTTTACGTAGAAGGGTTTTTAAATTGGTCACAAATTTTAATTCTCTCATTTTATAGAATTTGATATGTAATGTATCAAATTTATTCAGTGAATAATTCGGTGTATATCTTATACGCAATGTTATCAAATCCTTCATACAAATAGGCAAATACAATCGGAAAATGCTTAATTCCGAAAAGATTTTAAATTTATATGAGACACTTAAACACTATAATGGTTTTTTTTTATTATTATTATTCTCCAAATAAGTTTAAGTTTATAAAACAGCAATTTAGTAAAATGTAAAAGTTTTTAAATAATGCAAAATCTAGTGTAATTTGAGTTTAAAACATTATTTTGTAAAAACAGGTGGTAGTAAAATTTTTTACGACTTGATTGAATGCATTATGCAGAAATACATAAAAATTGTGTTCATTTTTTCAGAATCTAAGCATAAAAAGATATTTGGGTATTTATTATATTTGGGTATACAGTTATTTGATGGGTATATATAATTTAGTATAAATTTATTTTAAAACTATTAAAATTTTAAATCTAATCAATAGATTATTTAAAACTTCAGTTTTATAAAATAAATTTCAATTATCATAAAGAACCGAACAAACTTTTAATGAGTTTCTAATATCGATTTCCAAACGCACACTACAACGATCCAACTCTGCTGTTTGCAGTAAATCACAACATAATTGTATATTCCTATCACGTGCACTTTGTTGTCTATTTTATTTATGTCTCGTTCGTAAACAGTTTTATCGAAGCATGATGAAATTCAAACATTACCCATGCTCAAATAAGACGAAACTGCAATCATGAAACGAAAACTCATCTGTATAATGTAACCGCATGCTTTGACGATACAAATTCACTCTATTCCTCGATCAAATATTGCAGGAACACATTTGTTATAGTTCAGTGGTAAGATAGAGATCCCTTCTCCTACTGAAGAGAAGATGAAGCTTGGGTTTCGGTTGAAATAAGACAAATATGCACCAGGTGGCGCTACTACAGGTAAAAAGACTAGGGAAAGGTATTGCTTAGCAAGTTAGTGCTCCATCAATTTGTTGAGTAACTCGAAAGTATTTTTTCATGAGAGACGAAACACCTGGACTCAGAGAATAATGATACACGTGATGAGAGCATTAGTTATTTAAGGGACACTGATGGAGTTTTATACTCTGAAAGATATATTGTAAAAGAAAAATATATTTCTTTTCGTCTTTACATTCATCTTAAACTCGAATAATGATTGCCATCGTATGCAGACAAGCGAGTTTCCGATTTCAAAATTTACATTCTATGAAAGATGATTACAACCGAAATTTATAATAATACTTCACTAATATTACTTTATAACTAATATTACTTCAATTACTAATATAATTCATATTACATCAATAATATCGCTTCACTAATATTACTTCATACATATAATATTGTGGAAAGTAAAAATATTTTTATAGCAAGTTTTTTTAAAAAAAAGTTAGTTTAATTATAAAGTTATAGTTAATTTTAATCATCAGAATTTAGAATATTATTAGATATTTTAGAATTTTTTTTTTTACAATTTATGCAATAAATTTCAAAAGAAAAAGAATATAATGAATGAAATAAGATTTATTTTAATTATTTAACTGGAAGTAACATAATATGCTCATAAAGTCTTAAGTTCAATAATTTTATTAATGTTCGAATATATGTTTATAAAAAGCTATTAAAAGTTATTGTTTTCATGAAATTATATTTGAGTAAACAAGTTTTAAAAATGAATTTAAAACTTTTCATACGAATAATTTATTATTGTTACCAAAAATTTTAAAAAAGTATTGTTTTTAAGGCAAAATTGAAAAGAATGAACTTATATATATTAATATTTAATGGTGCATTTTTTATTTGAGGCTACATTGCTTAAAATTTCGGATGAAATTACGTAAAAATTACCATCAAATTGATTGCATCATCCGTAAAATCCATTTTATAGTAAAATATTATACCATATTTTCTGTTATAATATTTATTTAATTATGATGTTTCAGAGATTTCATGGTAATTATTGCTGTAAAAATAACGGTACATAAGATTTTTTTAATATTTTCATTACATGTTTCAGACAAAAAGGATTTTACGGTAAAAAGAAGTGGCATTCTGAGTGCCGGTATTTAAACCATGCATCAAAACTGTTTTCTTCTTAAAAACAATTTCAGAAAAAATTTCTTTCTAAAAAGCAACCAAAAATTATTTCGAAAAAATGGATAACTTTTAGTAAATACCGTAATTGAGAGCATAGAATTTTAGAAATTATTAATTATTTAATGTTTTTTTCCTCTCTCTTTCTTGTTTTTTTTAAATTTTTTTTTGTTTTTGTTTTCGAAAAACACATAAATTTTTCTACATGTTTTACATTAGTTCCCTTATTGCTGTATTTTTGCAAGATTTTTTTTTTTTGCAAAATGTACCCCACTTGTGCATTGGTAGAATAATATGTTGGAGAGAAAAAAATCCGTTTACACTTTTCGAGAAGTTAGCATTTTTAGAATATCGTATATCAAGAAGAAATTTGCAATTTTCAGTTTATGATTTTGACAACCAAATAGATTTTGAATAAAGCAACTAAGTGTAAAATTATCTAATCAATGTGACCATTATTCGCTTTTTTTAACTAATAGCTCCAAAACCTTGAAACAAATATTGTATTTTAAAACAACACACTTTTCTTTTTCATCATAGGCGAAATGGTAGAAAAATAGAAACGGTTTTGAGCTGCCAAAAATACGACGATCTTTATCAGAGCAACTATACCTAACGTCTTTATTCTTGTGATGTCCCCCAGTCACAAAGGGCTGTATAGTTTCTATAGTTTAGATCAGTGAATCCCAAAGTGGTCCATATCAACCCCCAGGGGTCGACAACAACCTGCAAGGGGTTCATGCCAAGTGAAAAAAATTTGGGGGTCCATGAAGTAAAAATAGGGGTAAACGATAGTGGATCTCATATAAGCATGCCGTGACTTTTAATTTTGGCATTTCATGAATGGAATAATCAACATACACTGATAGTACCTATTTACTTACATTATACTACCTTATATAAAGACACCTATCTATCTACATTCTACATAATTTATAAAAGTAGCTATGAAATAAAATTTTATTAAAATTTAAGTCATTTGGATTATATTTTGATATATGAAACTGAATTATTATAAAGTAGCAGTTGCCTGCAGCTCCGCCCACGTACGTTTTTATTTTCTCTGCGTGTAAGGTTTTATTTTGTAACAAAAAAAGTATTTTTCCTCTGTAAATTGCAGCCTAGCCTGTGCCTATTCTTTAGCTAGCTTCCAATTTTATCAGCGCGGAAGCTCGCGGCGATTTGTTGCTTAGTTTTTACTTGAAAACGTAATAAACAGACCGACAATACACTAGTACGGTTTTGTATACAAACTTATTTCCTCAATTATAACATGATTAACGGAGTAAGGGTTTTATAGTGCATTATTTTATTCCATTTACATATCAATTAAATTAAATTAGTCATAAAATTAGTTGGAATTTAATTAATAAATGTATAAAATCAACATGTGTTTTTCTCTTTAGTTTTTCACACTACACTTCACTACAGTTAGAAACTTAAATATTTCACACACTATACCAGCTGTCCAAAATACATTTGAAGTTGGAGAGTTTACAAAAAAATCAACATCAGGTTAGTAGCTACTCAAAACCGAAAAACATGGCAAGGGGTCTACGAGACAAAGAAGTTCAGGAAGTTGCTCCCCTGGTGGTGAGTTGAGGATCGTGAGTTCGATACCTGCTGCTGATGAAGCACCCAGCGCGTATATTCAACAAGGGGCACGAAAATGTATAGTTGCTGAAATTTCGTTCGTTGACTGTGGTGTGGAGATTCGGAGAGATGTGTACCAGTTCCGGTGCAGCCCGCGTCATCTGACTGGTATCAAAATTGCGTGTCACTCCAATCTTGAGTGTTAAAAGATATTGCCCCAAAAATCCGGGATAGATGCTTGAACAGATTTGAATGATATGAGTTATTCCAATATGTTTTGCATTTTTCAGTATAATTTTTATAGAAAAAATAACAAGATGCACAGAAACTTGGAACGCCTTACAAACTACTTCTGGAAAAATATTGTCTGCGTAAAATAATCTTTTTGAATCTTAGTCCATAAACAAGATTTTATAAGTGAAAGCTAGCACTTTTCATAAAATCTCGCTTTGATAGTTTGTTTAAAGAAAGTACTCTTTATTTTCACTTAATCAATCATTTTTGTGGAAACATAAAGTGTAAAAAGACGTTTGAAAAACTGTTATTATTAAAAAAAAGGATATAAGAACTAATGTTAACACTTTCCTTGTAGAATTATAGTGTTATTATTTTAATATGTTATCCTTCATAATATGTTTTTTTTGTTTCAAAAAAGATAAGAAAAGTTTGAAATTTAATCACTAAATCAAATCACTTAATTTGTATTGTTTGAAGGAAATCGTTTTCCAATTTTACTTCTGCAAACGATCTGTAATCATAGATGGTAATCCCTTTGAAGAACAAAGAGGTCTTTTCTTTAGATGAATGAACTTCAAAAGAAAACTAATCAATGAAACTATACGGCTGATTGCGTAATGTCCAATTGAATTTAATCAGTTTCAGAAAGCTGAAATTTACCTAAAGTATTAGAGTGTATAATGCCGTAAACAAATAAGTTAAAGATTAAATGAACTGAAATTTATTCCATCGAAACAACTCAAATTTTTTGTTCTTATAAAAATCTAGTTTTCAAGAACTTCCCAAATTCTTATCAAAACCCCATGTCATGTCATGTATTGTAATTTAAGTCAAATGATTTATTTTCAATACCAAATTAGTTCCACAAAATGAAATGCTTAATTTCGACAAAAGTTCCCTGAAAATCTATGCCTAAATTATTGTTGCTGAAATGACACTCTTATTGAACCATGAGGATTTAATTTAAAAAGCGGGATTAAGTAGGAACAAACAATATTCTTCAGAAAGAAATTATTGCTTACTTCCAGACATATCTGTATACTAATTAGTTTTCTTTGAGGAAAATTTCAGTTACCTTAACTAATTTGTCATATGTATGAATGCACTTACACAATAGTTATTAAAAGTTAGCTAAATTTAAATATTGTTAATAAATTACACTGTTATAATTTTTTTCTGAAATTACGACCAAATAACCAGCAGTAGTCGGTTTATCCGTTTAACCATAAAGTCAG